TTGTACTCCACAAAATTCAAAAATTTAAAGGAAATGGAAAATTATCTGGATAGATATTACCTGCCAAAATTACAGCAATTCAAATAGACCTATAAACCCTAAGGACATAGAAGCAGTCACCAAAATCTCCTAACTAAGAAAAGCCTAGGTCCTGATGGCCTCAGTGCCAAATTCTACCAGAAATTCAAAGATCAACTTATGCCAATTCTCCTCAAATTATTCCAATCAATAGATTCTGAACGGTCTTTGCCAAACTCATTTTACCAGACTTCAATAACCTTGATGACTAAGGCACACAAAGACACAACAAAGAAAGAGAACTTCATATCAATATCACTAATGAACATTGATGAAAAGTACTCAATAAAATACTGGCTAATCGGATGCAAGAACACATCAGAAAACTCATCCAACCTGATCAAGTAGGCTTTTTTCCAGGGAGGCAGGGATGGTTCAACATATGAATGAAACAAGCTGAGAAACAAAAATCACGTGATCATCTCACTATATGCTGAAAAAGCCTTTGATAAAATTCAACTCCCCTTCATGATAAATGTCTTAGAGAGATGTGGGATAACACGAACATGCCCAAACATAATAAAAGCAAAACAAATGCCAACATCAAAACAAATGGAGAGAAACTGAAAGAAATTCCTCTAAAATCAGGAACAAGATAAGGCTATCCACTCTCTCCATACCTCTTCAATATTGTATTTGAATTTCTAGCCATACAAACATAATATCAAAAGGAGATCAAATGGATACAAATTGGGAACAAAGAGGACAGACTTTCACTATTTGCAGAAGAAATGAAAGTTTACATAAGTGACCCAAAAAACTCTACCAAGAACACCACAGCTGATAAACACCTTCAGTAAAATACCCAGATACAACATCAACTAAAGAAAATAAGTAGCCGTGAGAGGACCCACCCACAAAGGAAAGACTTCAGCACTTCCAGGCCCCAAACAACAGTGATCCCAGCTAGAGGTGAGCATGGGTCCCCCCGGGGCCACTCCCTATCCCCCCTCATTGCCCATCCCCACAGTCGTCATGGGGCAATCTCCTGGCATCAAGAAGACCCGCCCACACAGAAAGACATCAGTCCTTCCAGACCCCAACTCCGGCGACCCCAGCTTCAGGAAAGGCATCAGTCCTTCCAGGCCCCAACCTCCGTCAACACCAGCTTCAGCTCCTGGCATCTAGAGGAACCGCCCACACAGGAAAGACATCAGTCCTTCCAGACCTCAACCTCCAACGACACCAACTCCACCTTCAGCATCCCCAGCTTCTGTTTCAGGAAAGAAGGAGACCAGTGGAGACAGAAAGACCCCACCTGCACCCACTGGAAGAAGAGATGGGAAGAAGACAGAATAAGAGCTCACTCAGCAAAGGAAAGACCAACATGATTCCAGCAGAATCTAAGGATCCAACACCAGCAAGACCCAAAAAGCACTACATAGACAAAGAAGAGGATACAGACCTTAAAAATTATTTCATGAAGATGATGGAGACCCTCAAAGAGGAAACAAGGAATTCCATTAAAGAAACAGAAGAAAAACCAAACAAAAAAACATGAAATGGGGGAAAAGGCCAACCAAAAAATTCATGAAATAAAAAAAACTCTCAAGGAATCTAAAGAGTACCAAGAAGAAACAAACAAACAAATGAAGGAAACAACTCAAACAGTTGAAGAATTGAAAGATGAATTAGAAACAATAAAGAAAACACAGAAAGACGGGATGCTGGAAATAGAAAAGCTGGGTAAATGATCAGGAACTGCAAATGCAAGTATCACCAATAGACTACAAGAGATAGAAGAGAGAATATCAGAGGTTGAAGACCCAGTATTGGATATATAGTCAATAAGCAAAGAAAATCTCAAAACCAACAAATCCCTAACACAAAATATCCAGGAAATATGGGACACTGTGAAGAAGCCAAACAAGGGAATAACAGGTATAAAAGAAGGTGAGGAAATACAGCTCAAAGGTACAGAAAACATATTCAACAAAATCATAGAAGAAAACTTCCCTAACCTAAAGAAGGTTATGCCTATGAAAATACAAGGATCTGACAGAACACAAATTAGGTTGGACCAGAAAATGAAGTCACCTTGCCATGTAATAATCAAATCGTCAAACCTACAGAATAAAGAGAAAATATTAAAAGCAGCTGAAGAAAAAAGGCCAAGTAACATATAAAGGTAGAGGTATCCAAATTACAAGTGACTTCTCAATGGAAACTATGAAAGTGAGAAGATCCTGGACAGATGTCCAACAGACGCTAAGGGAACAAGGATGCCAGCCCAGACTACTATATCCAGCAAAGCTTTCAATTACCATAGATGGAGAAAACAAAGTATTCCATGACAAAGCCGGATATAAACAATACGTATGCATGAATCCAGCTCTACAGAAAGTACTAGAAGGAAAACGTAGACCCAATAAATGTAACTGCACTCACAAACACACAGGCAATAGATAATTCCACTTTACCAAACATCAAAAGAAAAAGGGAGGAGAACATACACATAATAACGCCACCATCAATAAATCAAGCACAAACAAGAATAATCAATCAATGGTCATTAATATCCCTCAATGTCAACTGTCTCGACTTGCCTATAAAAAGACACAGACTAACAGAATGGATAAGAAGACAGAACCCATCCTTCTGCTGCATAAAAGAAACACATCTCAACATCAAAGACAGATATTACCTCAGAGTAAAGGGTTACGAAAAGATTTTCCAATCAAATGTACCCAAGAAACAAGTGGGTGTAACAATACTAATACCTAACAAACTAGACTTCAAATTAAAATCAATCAAATGAGAAGAAGGACATTTCATATTCATCAAAGGAAAAGTCCATCAAGATGAAGTCTCAATTTTGAACATCTATGCCCCAAATACAAAGGCACCTACATTTGCGAAAGAAACATTACTAAAGCGCAAATCGCACATAAAATCTCACACACTAGTAGTAGGAGACTTCAACACTCCACTCTCACTGCTAGATGGGACCTCCACACAGAAACTTAACAAAGAAACAAAGAATTAATAGAAGTTATGACCAAACTGGGTTTAACAGACATCTATAGAACATTCCAGCCAAACACAAAGGGATATACCTTCTTCTTGGTGCCACATGGAACCTTCTACAAAATTGACCACAAAATAGGAAACAGAACAAATCTCCACACATACAAAAAAACCCCTTGTATCTTATCAGACCACCATGCATTAAAATTAGAATTCAACAACGACACAAATCGCAGAAACCCTACAAACTCATGGAAATTGAACGATGCACAAATGCACCATCCCTGGGTAAAGGAAGAAATAAAAAATGAAATTAAATACTTCCTGGAATTCAATGAGAATAAAGACAAAACATACCCAAACTATGGGACAGTCTGAAAGCAGTGCTGAGAGGGATGTTCATAGCGCTAAGTACCCAAATGAAGAAACTGGAGAACAGTCACATTAGAGAATTAATAGCACAGCTGAATGTTCTAGGACAAAAATAACCAAACTCACCCAGGAGGAGCAGACACCAGGAAATAAACAAATTGAGGGGTGAAATGAATCAAGTGACACCAGGAAAACATTGAGAAGAATCAATGAAACAAAGAGTTAGTTCTTTGAGAAACAACATAATAGACAAACCTCTGTCCAAACTAACCAAAAGAAAGAGAGAGAGCATGCTAATTAACAAAATCAGTAATGAAAAGGGGGACATAACAAGGGACAATGAGGTACTCCAGAGAATCATCAGGGCATACTTTGAAAATCTGTACTCCACAAAATTCAAAAACTTAAAAAAATGGACAATTTCCTGGGTAGATATGACTTGCCAAAACTAAATCAAGAACAGATAAGCAATCTAAACAGACTTAGAACCCGTAATGAAATGGAAGCAGTCATCAAAAGTCTCCCAACCAAAAAATGCCCAGGTTCAGATGGCTTCAGTGCAGAATTCTACCAGAAATTCAATGAAGAGTGAATTCCAATACTCCTCAAAGTATTCCACACAGTAGAAGCAGGAGGCTCACTGCCAAACTCTTTTTATGAGGCTACAATTACCTTGATACACAAGTCACACAAAGACACAACTAAAAAAAGAACTATAGACCAATTTCTCTCATGAACATTGATGCAAACATACTCCATAAAATACTAGCAAACCAGATTCAGGAACACCATAGAAAAATCATCCACCATGATCAAGTAGGCTTCATCCCAGGGATGCAGGGATGGCTCACCATTAGAAAATCTGTCAATGTAACCCACCATATAAACAAACTGTGAAAGAAAAATCATATGATCATCTCACTAGATGCTGAAAAAGTATTTGACAAAATCCAGCTCCCATTCATGATAAAGGTCCCAGAGATATGAGTGATAACAGGAACATAACTGAACATAATAAAAGCAATATACAGTAAACCAACAGCTAACATCAAACTAAATGGAGAGAAACTCAATGCAATTCCTCTATAATCAGGAAAAAGACAAGGCTGTCCACTCTCTCCATATCTCTTCAATATGGTACTTGAAGTTCTAGCTACAGCAATAAGACAACAAAAGGAGATCAAGGAGATACAAATAGGAAAAGAAGAAGTTAAACTTTCACTATTTGCAGATGATATGATAGTTTATATAAGTGTCCTGAACACTCGGCAAGGGAGATCCTAGAGTTGATAAACACCTTCAGCAAAGTGGCAGTATACAAGGTTAACTAAAAAAATCATTGGCCCTATTATATACAGATGATGAAGTGGCTGAGAAAGAAATCAGAGAAACATCAACTTTTACAATAGCCATAAACTGCATCAATATCTGGGAATAATGTTAACCAAGGAAGTGAAAGACCTGTGTATCAAGAAGAGTGAACCTTTAGAGAAAGAAATCAAAGAGCATAGTAGAAAAAGGAAAGATCTCCCATGCTCTCTGATTGGTAGGGACACTCAGAATGAATATTTCTGAGTAAACACCCAGGATTATTTTCTCTGTCTTCTCAGTCTGAGGGCAGCTTCCTGATCCTCCATGGTTTCTGTCACACTCAGGATGTGGTTTCAACACTGTGTCTATTGCACAATAATAGATGGCAGAATCCTCAGATGTCAGGCTGCTGAGCTCCATATAGGCTGTGCTGGAGGATTTATCTGCAGTCAGTGTGGCCTTGCCCTGGAAGTTCGGATTGTAGCTAGCACCACCACTTCCACCATAAACCCATCCAATCCACTCCAGGCCTTCTACAGGCTTCTGCTTCACCCAGGAAATATAGTAACTTGTGAAAGTGTAGCCTGAAGTCTTGCAGGACAGCTTCACTGAGGCCCCAGGTTTCCCCAGTTCAGGACCGGACTGCTTCAGCTGGACCTGGGAATGGACACCTGTGGAGAGAAATGCAGAGTGAATATCATTGTCACCTTAGTCCCTGCCTCATCCTCATGTATGGAATTGGAAATAACTTACCTGTAATTACTGATACCAGGAAGAAAATAATGCAGCTCCATCCCATGCTGAGGACCTGTGCACTAAGTGACTGTAGAAGGACACTGAACATATGCTGTTGGTGATGTGGACATCCCTATATTTACAACCACAGACTAGTGTGGTTTGCATATTCATGAGCAGAGAATTTCTTTAAATACAGACCTAGTACAGCTGAGGAAAAAGGTGGCTGAGGACACATGAGTCAGGCAAAGTATGCTGAGGTCCAAATCTTACTCCTGTCTGAGGAATGGCATCCTTACCCTTCCCTCAGGTCTGTGTAGTTCCTGGGGGTGTAACATCAGGTCTTGTATGGCATCTTTCTGTGATCTCTCTCTGCCTAAATTTCCCAGAATTCTCCTAGATTTCTAGTCCCATCTATCTTCCTTCCTCTATTGGTCAGTGTCTTATTCATCAACAAATAAGAAAAACATATATCCAGATTGACATCCTCCCCTGGATATCAATTTTTGTGACAGATACAAAGAGTCAGAGATGCAAGGTTCACTGACGCCTGAATGAAGGGAAGGCAGGCAACAGACTCTTCTGAAGAAAGAACTTCAAACCTAATCAGGAACACTGATGTTGGGTTTCAGACTCCTTGGTCATGGAGGACATAAAACTGTGGTATTCTGTCTTAATTCTGTGGTATGAGCTGTAGTGAATATAATCATGTTTCTTATATATTTCAGAGGTAGTTAAATTATTTCTGGTTCCAAGGGGAAAATGAAGACAAGTGAGGAGGATGTAGTGTAAAAATTAAAATTCAGCAATTTAATCCAACAACTTTATATAAATGCAGATTAACTCTCCCTCTCAAATAATGACTTAAAAATTAGAAAATATTATTGTAAAGCTGTATTAAAGTACATCAATGCCCTTATACCATTTCTCTGAACTACTTCCTTACATTCAAAATTCAAGAGTTCAGATATAGTCAAAATGAGAGTCTATTTAATGTTTCAAATCAGTACTGTAGGCATGTCTTGGTCTTCCTGTTCATCACTGTGAAAAGCACTATAGAGAGTACAGGTGTTAGATAAACTGTAACTACAATCTCATAATTCAAAATTCTCAAGCACTTGGATTGAAAATTATGGTACTGTTAGGTGATTCCTGTGAGGAGAGCATGGTATATGTTGATACCTTGAGTAACTGGATTCAATATATGCATGTAGTAGAGCAGCAACCAAACATGCATTTAGTTTATGTGTAAAGTCTGATACCAGAAGTTCACCTCTTCTCCTTATAGACAAAGAATCATCCCTATAATTCAGAGTACTGGATGGTATTATCTGGACATTTCACAATCTCTTTCTATAAACCTGCATTTCATACTCCAGTCCATGGGATTCTGAAGACTATCATAGGCTGAAATGGACAAGAGTGCTTACCTACTTAAATACAATGGAGACATTCTCCTCTTAAAATTCACAAAATACTCAGACCTTGGAGAATATAAACAGATACTATTAGCTTAATTCCTTAATTAAGGCAGTATTACAGTTATGGTATGTGCACATCTAGTGCAATGGATATCAAAGTATCAAGAGCTTTTTTTATCCACACATGGATTTCTAGCTTTTGCCCTTTCTCCCTCTTTCACACGAGAACCTGTGTGGACATAACCCTTCCATCCCAGTGAGAATCCAGTCACCACATACATGTTCATTAAAGTGAACTATACTTCAAGGGTTCAGAGGTCATCTGAACCTCCTTATGGTTAAACATATTTGTGACACAGAGGACTATTTTGACCATACGGGGACAGAGCTTTGGATGCTGCTGTCCATTTCACAGCAGTGATCATCAGAAATGTGCACACCTCTTGCATTAATTGGGACACTTTTCCCAAAATGTTGTTCAGGGTCCAGATCTCAAATACCCTTAAGATTTCCTGATAATTCTTTCAAGAATTATTGTTTTATCCAGCAACTGTGTGAATCCATTCTAAATTTTGTGGACCTCATTATGGTTTTATTTATCGAATAATATCTCCCATGTTCTAGCATGGAGATCTCTGATGGCAACTAACCTTGGGCTGTGAATATATTGACACTGGCAATGAAATGAACAGAGTTTGTTTAAATCTCCTGATTGCACAGCATTATTATCTGCTTCTGTGGTTCTTTACTTCTTAGAGATTGATGGATCCACAATGCCCCCTGCTGCTTCTGAGAACAGGCTTGTGTAAATTCTCATACACAGACCCTCACTATGACTCTTACTCATGTTCTTGGTAATGGACCTGGTGATGCTGAACAGAGATTTCAAGTATGGATGAAGAGCTGTACCTCAAAGTCTTTCTCCATGAACTTAGTCATTTCTCTAGGGTCTGTTAGATGTAGCTTTTGCCGTGACAACTTGTGATTAAGGGAGTAACCAGAGAAGCACACATGATGGACAGAAATCACAACTGCTTTATAAAGCAATATCCTAACCTCCACCTGCACTTGGAACAGGAAACTAACAACACCTGGGATATGAATAAATTTGGTACATGCAGATCTGTTCCCAACTCTAGAAAGTATTTTCAAATTTGAGAAGTGACAAAAATTTAGGGAAGTTTGGATGCGGGTTCATTCTGTGTGCTAACTGAGCATCTTTATCATGGGTTGGCTGTACATTTCTATGGAAAGACTTAGAAGGGATAGTTATTTCTTTTTCTTCAAACTTTCTGGGAGAAAATGATGAATGTTTTCTCTCTGGATCTAATTTCTCAAAGCTCAGCATCCTCCTAGTCATGTAAACTCATAGCAACTGATTTTCAGACTTGAATGCCCTTGCTGTAACCCTAGAAAATGACAGCAGTAAGTTGAATAATTCACTACCATCTCCAACGAGTTAGTGGATCCAGTGCCACTATATGTATAACTCATATGTTTGTCCATATGCATGCACATGTGTCAGCACACTTAGTAACCCCTAAAATATGCTGTACATTGAAGTGTAGATGGATGTGTCTGGATATAAGCATTGTGACCATGAGTCAAATGCATTTCAAGCATATACAAATTCTCCTGAAATGAAAAAGTTTCGAGTGTCACATGGTACTCAATATTCCATTTCTATATGTGGGTGCTTTGCCTACCTCATGTACTCAGGGCTTGTTACATGGAAGTGTTGTTGAAGTCAAGCTCACATGTAAAATATATGTTGCACATTGTATATGCTTTTGTGGGCATGATGTTTCTTCCCATCATGCTGAAGGGGCTCCGGTTTTGATTCTAACTAAACTATATTCACAGGTATAAATGAGTAACTATTGATGCATCTGAGGCCCTGGGTGACTCTAAGAAGCTAAAAAATTTTTGAACTTAGATTTGAAGCAGGCCTGTGTTTCCAAGAATGGATAATGAGACACAGCTCTACACAGAGAAAGTGAAACTTGACCACCTTTAGGAAGAGCCCAAATCTTAGCGACCTGCCTTGGAAATGACATCAGAATTACACCATATACATGGGCCATGAAGACAGTCTTGATGATGTCATGTAGGACAACTGGAAATTACACCAGAATTACATGAGAGATATGGACACTGAATCATTTCTTGATGATGCAATATAGGATAACAATCAATAAGCTGATGTTAACTAAAATACCAACTTTGCTATAAGAGAGACCTGTCTGACTGTGTCCATGTTTGTGTAAGTGTGAAAAGAGCATGTATCTCTGCTGACTCTGCACATGTTCTGAGAAAACAACTGAGCAGTGAAGACAGAAATTATCAAAAGTGCAGTTGGCAACTGACCAGAAATTGTTGGTAACACTCCAAACAGGCTGTTCGTGCACATGACAGATACATAAATTAACATATTATGTCTATCCTCCCTGGCATAATTTATCAAATAACAGTCAATAAGTGATTTTGGAAGGGGGCTTCCAAATTTATTTAGTGAAATATTATTTTTAACCAATATATTGTAATCATAATTTACCTTTTCCCCAGTAATCCTTGATCCCCTCACAAGAAAATACCACAAGAAAAGTTCTCTCTCTCTTTCTTTCTCTCTCTGTCTCTGTCTCTCTCTCATTCTATCTCTCTCTGTCTCTCTCTGTCTCTGTCTCTCTGTCTCTGTCTCTGTCTCTCTCTTTCTCTCGTCTCTCTCACACACACATCCACAAGCACCCGAAAAAATCAGAACTAAAAAAAATCATACGAAAATACAATTTTGCTAGTTTTGTTTGGATCTTAGTCATAAGACCTACTGTAACATGTGTCTAACACAGTCAGTGACATTGTGCTGAAGTACATTTATTTTTCCTTTGCATGTAAGTACATGTTGTAGATAGTTTCTCATTTTGGATTGAGTGCCCATGTCCAGTTCCCCTTTGCAGCTTTCGAATACCAATATGGCTTGAACCTGTGCAAGCCCTGTATTTACATCCACAGTGTAGTGTGTTCATGTGTGCACCAGTCTTATTGTCTGAAAGAGACTGTATCCTTGAACTTATTCAACACCTGTGGGTCTTAAATCTTTCTTTCTCTTTTCCTGCATCTGTCCCTGAGACCTGAGGAGAAACTTTGCTTAAGACAGCACAGTTATGATTGAGTGCACACGTATCTTTCATGCTCTGTACGTTGTCCATTTGAGACTCACAAAAGTAGCAACCTAAATTTATATATATATATATATATATATATATATATCATATATATATATATATACATATATATCCTAATAGGAGGAATAAGTGTCCTGACAAACATTATGAGACAAAGAATATACAAAATAACACTGAGGTCATTTTCTTTTGGCCATCTACTTATAGGCATGAGACCTTCCTTAAGAGTAGTTTATATGCCCAGTGAGACAACATCAGAAAATATTTTTTGTTTGTAAAGAATTTATCAACTGGAGATAGCTTCTGTCCACTTCCCATGTGACCATCACAACTCCACCTGGTTTACACCTGTGAAGACCCTATGACTGTGATGCTGTCATAGACTCTCAGCTGTTAGTATGTGGGCATGTGTACTGGCCTGTCCTTAGGGAACTGACATAAATGCCCTCAGCTGCAGCCACTAAGAGCATTATCTGTGTATAGTCACCATGTTCCCTTATAAAGGGACACTGCCCACCTCCAATCCTCATCTCTCTCTTTCTCTATCTCCCTCTATCTGTTCCCCTCTTTACCCTCTCTCTCTCTCCTTCCTTCCTCTACCCCTCTTTCCTTTCTCCTGTCTCCTGCTGCTCCTGTCTCTGGAGCTTGTCTCTCCATTTCTATTATCCCTTTTTATGATTTCTTTCTCTAATTAAAAAATTCTTCTTGATCCCTGTGGCATGGCATCTTGCCCTCCAGTGCCTCTCATTTAAATTACAACATCAGGGAGTACATATATGCATGGATCCTGTTGTGTCTGGGAAGCTTTGTCTCTTTGGTGTCCTCCAATCCCTATGGAATATATAATCCATGAGCATCCTCTTTTGAGGTTTCCCTAAGCTGTGTGGAGACAGATTTGAAGGTGACATTCCATTGATATGTTCCAAGGTCTCTCACTTTTGGCACATTATCCAGCTTGTGTCTGCATTCTCCACTATTGCAGAAGGTTCTCTAATAATAACTGAACAAGACAATATTCTATGACTATAGCAGAATTCCTTGGAATTGTTTTATTGATAGTTCATTAAGGATAACAGGAATATTTTCCAATGTTCCACCTAATTAATCTTAGGTTCTTGGCCAACACAGTGTCAGAATTTATTCCATCCCATAAACATAACATTCCATTCCTTAAGCATAACCTGATATTGGTTGATTTATTCCACATGTTTTATGAATCTATTGCATCAAAGAATATTTTATGCATTTCATGACTGTAGATTACTCCAGTGTATTCTTAGGTTCTTTGCCAATATAATGTTAAGACTTATTCTGTCACATGAAGTGAGGCTTAAATCTAATATGAGATTGCGTGAATCATTCCTCAATATTTGGACACTATTACATCACACTGTCCTGTAGGCATGTCATGACTATGGATCTAAGGGTTTACAGTTATTGTACCATATTTTCTTCACCTACTTTCTACTGACAGACATCTATGATGTTTCTAATTCTGGTATTATGAATAGAACAGCAATGACCATGGCTGAGACAGTGTCTCTATTCAGATGTAGAGCACTTTGGGTATAAGCACAAGAGTGGGGATTTTGAATGGTGGGAAAGATCTCCTCACAGCCTCCTGTGGAACAGCCTCACTGATTCCCAAGTGTCTTTATACAGGAGGAAATATTGCAGTGAGAGGGGTTTTGGCTTCAAAGTGATTTCTCCAGAAGACAGGAGATAAGTCCTGAAGTCAAGTTTTTATAGACACTAACAGATGCCTTCCTGATACATCAGAGAATCATATTCAGTCAAGGATCCAGGAGGGGGAGAATCTCAAACCTTCTGCTCAGTCCCTGCTCTTCAGTTGGAGAAAGAGAAGAGTGTTTTATACAGTGATTGTTGGTTCAAGCAGTATTTTAAATCCAGCATGGGTTTGCAAAAATCTGTAACATAGAATTGTCCTAGGGAATCCATGTGTGGCACAATGCATTCAGCATAGATTTCACTCATGTTAAGCACATTGTATTCATACTGGTCGTAGGGGATGTACACTGCAGGGACATGCAAAATTAATATTCTGTGATATGAGACATCACATTCTCATCAAACACTTGAGACTACTAAATGCCATTTGTTTACGTGTTGGTTGTAACTCACCAATTACCTGAAAATCAGATATTCTATATCACGAGGATGGCCAGCAGGTTACCAAAGATTGATGCTGTATCAGATAGGTCCATGTTATCTAAAGACTTGATACTGTAGAGTTGGGTACATGGACAGGGAAGGCAATAAATGTGGAACCATAAATGTGGAACCAGAACAACAGTGACTAAGGTATATTTCAGAGTATACCTGAATTTCCATATATATATATATACACATATATATATATACATATATATATATTATATGTGTTGATAAGTGTGATCTTGAAAGTAATGTTATAATGCATTTGTCCAATTTATGAAAATCATACTAAAAAGGCAGTGTTTTCTGGTATAAATATGTCTTTCATTTTATGACATGGGAACTTTTGCTGGACCACATGGCCAAAAAACCACATTGAGGTCACTTAAGGCTTAACACTGTGAAAGGAGCTTTTATTTGTCAGATGTTGGATGATTTGGATTGCACAGGTTAAATGTGCATTATACTTTATTCTCAGTTCTTGCTGCAAAACATCCCATCACTCAAGATAAAGATGTATTTTTATCATAATTCATCATCACAGTTTCCCTTTTTATAGTTTTATTTAAGAACTGTGTCAATTCAGGCTGTCACTGGCCAACATGTTCTCATGATATGGAGATCCTCTAGAGGCTATCATAAGTCAAAACCACTTTTTACTCACATGTCTTTTGCAAAGTTGAATTGAGCAATATAGGTCTTTGACGAGGAGGCAGAGAAGGGAACTCTAGAATGATTATTTCTGAGCAACTCCCCAACTGACCTTCTCTGTCATCTCCATTCTTGTGAAGCTTCCTGCTTCTCCAGGGTTTCTGACACACTCAGGATGTGGTTGCACCACTGTGTCTCTTGCACAGAAATAGATGGCAGAGTCCTCAGATGTCAGGCTGCTGAGCTCCATGTAGGCTGTGCTGGAGGATATGTCTCTACTCAGCGTGGCCTTGCCCTGGAATTTCTGATTGTAGCTGTTACTGCCACTTCCACCATGAATCCATCCAATCCACTCCAGGCCCTGCCCAGTCCTCTGTTTCACCCAGTCCATGTTGTAGCTACTGAAGGTATAGCCAGAAGCCTTGCATGACAACTTCACTGAGGAACCAGGTTTCCCAAGCTCAGGCCCAGACTGCTGCAGCTGGACCTGTGATTGGACACCTGTAGAGAAAAATACAGAGCAGGGGTCATTGTCACATAACACCCAGTTTCTTCTCCAGGTTTGGCACTTGGAGCCACTTACCTGTAGTTACTGACACAAGGAAGAGGATGATCCAGCTCCTTCCCATGGTAAGGACCTGTGTGTTCAGTTGCTGTAGAGAGGATACTGATCATAAGTTGGGGGTGATGTGGACATCTCTGTATTTACCACCATAGATTCAAGTGATTTGCATATTCATGAAAATGGTAATTTTTAAATAAGTATCTGGTCCTACTGGAGAAGAAGTTAGAGGACACCTGGATCAAGCAGCAGGATGCTGATGTCCCAGTCCTACATCTCTCTGAGGATATGTATAGTATCCTTCTTCCCTGGGTCCTCTGCAGATGATGAGGAAGTAACATCAGGACCTAACTCTCAATAGACATCAGACCTGATACACTGGCTCCACTTGGAACAAGGTTAACAGACAGATTTCCAGATGGTGGCTGAGATTATGATGACAGTAATGGGAATTTAAAACCTGCTGAGTTAGAAATTTACAACCTCCTTTCTGATATATGCAGTTAATATTTGCATTTCCAACAGACTATATACTACAAACCTCTCTCAAATGAACCAAAGCAAACATACCTCCCAAATATTTGCACAACAGTGCTTATTGCAGCAATGTCAAAATAACTAAATTATGTAACTGTCAACAGAGGATGTCATCAAGAAGACACATTTATATAAACAACACAACAGAAAATTTTCATCTACAAGGAATTTGGAAATTATACCACTTATAGATTAATGGATGTAGCTAGAAAAACATGTATTAGTTAAGACCATCTAAGAAATCAGACATTAAATGAGACTCTCGTCAGTAGTTCTTAGATATCGCATGCTTACGTACAACTGTGAATAAAAATATATGATGAAGTGCCAGTGAAATTGTCTATTAGGATAAAAGTAAAGGAGGAGGGGAAAATGAGAGTAGAGATTATAGGGGAAACAACTGTATGAAATACATGTGTATGAAATTTCTACAACTGTGTAAAGTTGTATTTTACATTTTGCATTTTATATTTTTAGAAATTTGATCCATGTAAAAAATGTGGTATGAGCATATCTATAACAATTATGCCCCACTGGTTCCTCCTTGGGACTTTCCAGTAAGTCTCTATCCATCGTTGTGTCCTCTCTTGTTTCCTTAACTAAAAGCATAATGAATCCAATCAATTCTGTCTATATGCACATAGATGGAGTCTTTCAGTAATATACCAGAAAGAAAAATGTTTCTTGAAAGAAAGTGAATCCCTTATGAGAAATAACCATTAAAGTCAAGAATCTCCATAGTAAGATGAAGTTCTACACAGCTAAAATTCGAGTTGGTCCTTAACCTACAATGAAATGTTCTGTGAGTAATCTGATCACCCGGACAGGTGCAGTACATACAATCAGGACATCCCAACGCTTTGAAGGACACTCATTCCATGATGAAGCTGATCTCAGCTGAGTTCCAGAGCATGGGGAATAGATGGAGGGGCCCCACGCATCAGGATCTCTTACAAAACAATGTCAGAACTCACGTGTGAGGGACAGTGCAGTGGTGTAGTTATGAGGATGTCTCATTTTTGCTCTATTAGATGTCCTGAGTGAGAATGAGGACAGTCTAGATTTAAGGTGCTTTCTTCTAAACTCTTTTCCCAAGTCACAAAAACCACATATTAGGCTAGGTATTACCAGTTTGACTAAATACCTTATGTTTTAGAAAAATATGCAAAGAAAAATGATACATGAAATCCTAAATTCTGCAAAGGACAGATTGTGTGATTATACCAATTTTCATCCTCTCTCCACTTCTGAGCCAAAGGCATCAGAGAGCAGTGTATCACACTTTTAGGACAAGATCTCCTACAGCAGAGCTACAAGGACTCAGCACTGTGGCTGGAACTTCAAGGACTGAGATCCCAGGATACCATACAATATCACAATTGAGAAAAACCCTCCCCCAGGGGACAGAAGTTACAGATAGAATTAGATGCTGCTGGAGATGGCTTTGATGATGATGTTAATTTGCAAAATTGTTGCCTTCTGAAATGAACAGCCAATGGCTGATTGTCTTTCCTATAATGTTCACATCTGATGAATAAACATATATGTGCAATACTACTGAACAAAGAACTTTTACTATACTAAGTCTGAAGTCATCTCACAGTAGCTACACCAAGTGTATTGCATGATCTCAGCAGTTACTTGAAGTCAGGACAGGAAACCTTTGGGTCTCAGAGAATTCCCTCACTACCCAGATGTTTCTCTCACCTACTACATTTTCTTTCCTGGTTGGTTCTGCAGTGCCCTCTGCTGGTCCTGAGCATCCTCAAAATGAGATTGTTTCTGATCACACAGGGAACCTGCTCACTGTTATAGCTATACTTTAATGCAGGGCTGACTTCAGTGGTAGCAGAACTCAGCTTTAGGGAGAACTCATCATTGAATATGTTCATTAACACACTGAAGGATTTCTCAATGACAGCTTTAGGCTTTCTGTTGAGACCTGATCTTGATGAGAGAGTTTGGGTTAAAAGGAGGTCTCAGAATTCTATTGGAAAAGAACAACATTTAGTTGCTTGTTTCAATTAGTTAAAGTTGAAGAAAAAGAGAAATTTATTGTCAGAGGAAAAGTTCAGATAATCTCGGGGATTGCGCTACAAAAATATAGACTGAGCCATGTCAGATATGAAATTTTTGTAACTTTATTCACTGAGCCTTGATTGCTCCTGTCTCAATCCCAAAGATTTGGCCATCTCTCATCAGAATGAAATCACGAGGTGACCTCAGGATTCCTCAGTGTCTAACCCAGGTGAAAAAGGCAGGGTTATTTCTGCTCATATAAGTGACAAACTGCATCGGTAAAAATGAGTATGTGTGCTTATAAAGAAAACAGACATGTCTAAAACTGTTTTCTATTTCGATAGGTCAACATATAGAGGTTTGGAGTTTTTTAAGGGAAACTGTTATATTTGGGGGAAGCTCAAGGTACCAAAGGAAACAAATGTTTAGCCACTCTCAGCTCCTGCTCCTGGTCTGACCCTAAAGTTCCAGTCTGCTGTGGGACTCCTGTTGGAGATGAGCTCTAATGCTCTGCCTGAGCCCATCAGAGGAGTGTTGTGTGCCTAAACATGGTGTCCCTTAGTGTGGTCATCACAGTATATATGGCTGTCACTTCTAACACATAAGTCAGTCTTGACGACAACTCATCCTCATATGGGTTTTTTTGCAGGTGAGGATAAAAATGAAGAAGAATGACCTGTTTTCTGTGACTCCATGATAACCTCATTTGTCCAGGACAACAGTCTCTTTTCTGGGACATATTCAACCCCAGTTTGACAGAGTGTGATGGAGTAAGCAGGGCCAGTACAGGTAAGGAACAGGTCTCTGAGTACTTCACCAGGCCAAGTTTTGACATCTATAGTGGTACCTAAGAACAAAGACAATTGGCCCCTGTCAGGCACAAACAGTGACAAGTTCCGCAGTTTTCCTGGCAATAACAAGTGATCTAAACATTGTGACAATGGCAGAGTCATTTCTGATAGTGTAAGTAATCAGCTTGATTACTGAAGCAATATCACAATAACAAAATTGTGGAAATAAACTCTATATCTTTCAACAGAGAATCTCATCAAGAACAATGTTTATAAAAACAACTCTACCGAAGTTACACATCTTACATCAGATGTTATACGAAACTTACATCAGTTAGGATGCAACTAAAGATAAATGCATTAGTTAAGGCAATCTCAGAAATCAGGTATCAAATGAGCCTCTTATCAGTAGTTTGTAGATATTTCATTCTTACATACAACTATGAATAAAAATACATGATGAAGTATAAATATGTTGTCTAGTAGAGTGAACTAGGAGGGGAGAGAAAATGAAGGGAAGAGATTATGGGGGAATAACACAAAGAACAGAATACATGAGTGTGAAAATTCTAAAACTATGTAAATATGATATTTTGCAGTTCATATTTTATATTTTTTAATTTAATCCTTATATAAAACATAGTATGATCATATCTATACCCAGTATGCCCCCAATATTTCCTTTTTCAGGCTTTCCAAAGAGTCTCTGTCCATCTTCATGTCTTCTCTTGTTTGACTAACTAATAAGACATTGATCCAATCATCTCTATATATAAACACATATCAGGAGCCCTGAACTAGTATACCATAAAGAAAACTGGTTTTAGAAGAAAGAGAATCTTTATGAGAAACCACCATTATTCTCACGAATCTCCATAGTAAAATGAAATTTTGCAAAGATGACTTTGGTTCTGGTTCTTAAGCAGTAAAGAAATGTTCTGGGAGTAAATCTGAACAGCAGGAGAGGTGTGGTACATAAACATGGGACATCACACCTTACTGAAGGACTCTCATGCTTTCAACACGAGAAAGGTCTGCGCTGAAGTTGATACAGATGAGTTCCAGAAAGTTGGGAACTCACTGTCAGAACTCACATATGCGGGACAGTGGAGTGGTTTAGAGATGATGACGTCTCATCTTGTCTACCTTAGGGATCCTGAGTGAGAACGATGGCAGTCTGGATATAATGTACTTTCTTCTATATTCTTTTCCCAAGACACAAATTCATGTATTAGGCTAGGTATTCCCAATTTGACTAAACACCTTTCCTTTTAGAAAAATTACACAGAGAAAAATGAGAAATGAAATCCTAAATGTGGTGAAAGACATATAGTATGATTATCCCCAGCTTCTCCCTCTCTCCTTCCCCTGAGCTGTTGACTGCACAGGGCATTGTGTGTGTCACACCTTGGGACCAGTTCTCCAACAGCAGAGCTACATGAGCTCAACACTGGGCCTGGAACTTCAAGGACTGAGATCCCAGGTAACAGTCAACTATTCCAGCTGAGCAAACCCCTCCCCCAGGGGACAGAAGCTACAGCTCAAATTACAGATGCTGATGATAATGATGACTGGAAGTCTGACTCCTCATGTGTGAAAATGTGTGACCTTCTTATCTGTATGTCCAATGGACGTTTGTTCTTCCAATAAAGTTACCTATTAATGATTACAATATTTGGGCAATATTACTTACCCAAGAACTTTTTCTCTACTAAGTATGTAGTCTGACTGCAGTAGCTACATCATGTATATTACATGGTCTCTGCTGGAGGTCAAGCCAGGAAATTCTAGGAACTGAGGACTCCCTCACTCTCCACATGTTTCTCTCACCTACTGCATTTTCTTTCCTGGTAAAAGTTTGGTCTACAACACTCCCTGCTGGTCTTGAGCATCCTCAGATTGAGGTTGTCTCTTAGCACAGAGTGAACCTGCTCACTGTGTTTGCTGCAGTGCTGTGCAAGGCTGTGTTTTCAGTGGTAGCAGAGTTCAGCTTCAGGGAAAGAGAACTGGTCTTGAATGTGTCACTGACACACTGAGGGTATTCTTACTCACAGCTGCACACTTCCTAATGAGAGCTGATCCTGATGAAAGAATTTGGGTTAAAAAGATGTCTCAATATTATTAGAAAAGAAAAATATTTATTTGTCCGTTTTTTGTTAGTTTCCCTCGAATAAATTTATTTCTGAAAATTACATACACGTCAAAGACTCACACCTATCTTACCTTCCTCTTGTTCTTATCAACCTCCTCCTTTCTCCCTCAATGTCTTTTCACATGTTCATTTAAATTTCACTTTTTTATGAGCCAATAATTTTAACAAAGAATGTCTAAACAGCTATGGAATTAAAACTAGTGAAGCCTGGTATGTACACTAGTGAGTATACATATTAATGTAATATCCTGTTCAAAAAATTAAATAATTAAAAAATCAATATTCTGCTCAACATAATTGTCAGGAATCATCAGTCTATAAGGGAAGTAGTAGGCCCCCAAGAGCGCCTCCATTATGCAGCCCTCATTACCGTTAGAATGTTTAGGTACATGTCCAGTGTAAGCAACTGTAGCTCCCAGCAAATTAATAATGGCCATAGTTATTCATGACCAGGGCATAGTGTTTTACAGCCTTTCTCTCATCTTTCAGGCCTTATAATTCACAATAGACTTTGAATTTTTACTTATTTTAAAATTTAAATTAGAAATATGTCAATCCCAGTTGCCTCTCTGTTTCCTCATCCCCTGACCCCACCAACTCCCTAACTCATCCCATTTCTGCTCACCAAGTAGGAAGGTGCCTTCCATGGGGATCTTCAAAGTCTGTCATATCATTTGGAGCAGGGCCTAGGTCATCCCCTGTGTGTCTAGGTTGAAAGAGTATCCCTCCATCTGGAATGGGCTCCTGATGAGTGAAGCCTTTTCCTTGCCAGGCGCTTTGGTTTTTTTCCCCACCAGTCTCCTGGGCTCTGCCACATTGTAGTCGCCAAATAACACACAAGACGCTGTATTAATTATGAAGCTCGTGGACTTTCTTGTTTCATACTGGCTAGCTCTGACTTAAGTTTTTACCCCATAATTGTTAATCTAAGTATTTCTCTTACCTGAGCAAAGGTCCTGACTTTTGATCCCTATGGCAGCTACATTGTAACTCCATGTGTTTCACCTTCCCAGAATACTCCTTGACCCCTAGTCCCACCTATCTTGCTTCCCTATTGGCCAACAGTGTTTTATTGACATATACACAAGACTTCCCCATCAGACTCCCAAATTCCATTCATGTGCTTGGAGTAAAGACTAATCCACTACCACAGGCCCAATAGATTGCCCAAGCCTAACTGACATCCACATTCAGGGGGTCTGGGGAAGTCCTCTGCTGATTTCCCAGCTATCAGTCTGGGGTCCATGTACTTCTCCCTGTTCAGGTCAGCTGTTTTTATGGGCTTTGCCAGCCTGGTCTTGACTCCTTTGCTCATCACTACTCCCTCTCTGCAACTGGTCATACAATGCTTGTTATTTGTAATTAGGTACCTCAGGATGGTTTCATCTAGTTTGACCTATTGGCCTGTGAATTTCAAGATTCCATTGTTCGTTTGTTTGTTTTGCTTAATAATACAGCATTGTAAATGAACCACATGTGCAATTTCCATTATTCAGATTTGGGGCATCTATGTTACTTACAGATTCGGGTAACACAAATAATGCTGTTATGAACATAAGTGGACATAAGTCCTTGTAGCGTTAATGTGCACCCTAAAAATAAAATATAAAAAATAACAATTTATAACAAAAAAAGACTTAAGACTGTGAAACGAACATTTATTTGTCAGATATTGGTGATTTTGATTGCACATGTCAAATATGTATTGTACTTTATTGTCAGTTCTTGCTGCAAAACGTCCCAGCACTCAAGATAAAGATGTATTTTTACCATAATTCTTCATCACAGTTTCCCTTTTTGTTGTTTTATTAAAGAACTGTGTCAATTCAGGCAGTCACAACTCAACACTTTCTCATGATATGGGGTCCTCTAGAGGCATCCTAAGACAAAACCATTTTTCACTCAGATGTCTTTTACAAAGTTGTATTAAGAAATATAAGACGTTGAGAAGGAGGGAGAGAAGGGAACAGGAGAATGATTATTTCTGAGCAAGTCCCAAGACTGATCTTTCTGTCATCTACATTCTTGCGGAGCTTCCTGCTCCTCCATGGTTTCTGACACACTCAGGATGTAGTTGCACCACTGTGTCTCTTGCACAGAAATAGATGGCAGAGTCCTCAGATGTCAGGCTGATGAGCTCCATGTATGCTGTGCTGGAGGATATGTCTCTACTCAGCGTGGCCTTGCCCTGGAAATTCTGTGCGTATTTAGTATTACCACTTGAAGTACCAATCCATCCAATCCACTCCAGGCCCTGTCCAGGCCTCTGCTTCACCCAGTGCATATAGTAGCCAGTGAAGGTGGAGCCTGAAGCCTTGCATGACAGCTTCACTGAGAAACCAGGTTTCCCAAGCTCAGGCCCAGACTGCTGAAGCTGAACCTGTGATTGGACACCTGTAGAGAAAAATAAAGAGTAGGGGTCATTGTCACCTCATAACTAGTTTCTTCTCCAGGTTTGGAACTTGAAGCCACTTACCTGTAGCTGCTGTCACCAGGAAGAGGATGATCCAGCTCCATCCCATGGCGAGAACCTGTGTGTTCAGTGACTGTGGAGATGACACTGATCATATGCTGTTTTTGGTGTGGACATCCCTGTATTTACCACCATAGACTCATATGATTTACATATTCATGAGCAGGGAGTTTCTTAGATAAGGACCTATTCCGACTGAAGTAGAAGAAACCTGACACTTGTGTCTGGCAGCAGGATGCTGAGATCCTGTCCTAATCCTCTCTGAGAATATGTATAGCATCCTTCTTCCCAGGAACCTCAGATGATGCTGAGGAAGTAACATCACGAACTAAGGTCTCAAAGGATTTCAGGCCTGAGACAGTGGTTCCACCTGGAACAAGGTTATCAGATTGATTTACGATGGCTGTGATTGGGATGATGATGATGGAAAATTTAAAACCTACTGAGTATTAAATTTACAGCCTCCTTTCAGATATATGCAATGAATATTTGCCTGTCCACTGGATTGTATACTGAAAAACATTCCCAAATGAACAAAAGTAAATATACTTCAGAAATCAACGAAACAGCTTTATTACTGAAGCAATATCACAATAACAAAATTGTGGAAATAAACTATGTATCTATCAACAGAGGTTCTCATCAAGAAGAAATGTTTATATAAACAACTCAACAGAAGTTACACATCTACAAAGAATATGAAACTTACAGCATTTAGGATGAAACTAGACATAAATGCATTAATTAAGGTGATCTTAGAAATCAGACATTAAATGAGACTCTCATCAGTAGTTTTTACATATCGCATGCTTACATACAGCTTTGAATAAAAATTCACAATTAAGTTTAAGTGAGTTGTCTAGTAGAATAAAGGTAAAGTAGGAGGGGAGAGAAAATGAAGGGAAGAGATTACAGGAGAAATAACATAGAGTACAAAGTACATGTGTATGAAAATTCTAAAACAATGTAAAATTGATATTTTGCATTTCATATTTCATATTTTTTAAAATTTAATCCATGTATAAAACATAGCATGATAAAATCTATATCCAGTGTGCCCCACTGTTTGCTCTTGGGACTTTCCAATAAGTCTCTGTCCCTCTTCATGTCCTCTCTTGTTCCATTAACTAATAACACATTGGTCCAATCATTTCTATCTATATACACATAGGTGGAGTCCTCCACTAGGATACCAGAAAGAAAACTGGTTCTAGAAAGACAGTGAATCCCTTATGAGAAATCACCAGTAATCTCATGAGTCTCCATAGTAAGATGAAATTCTACATAGTTGACTTTGAATCTGGTTCTTAACCAGTAATGAAATGTTCTGGGAGTAAATATGAACACCAGGACAGGTGCGGTACATACACCTGGGACATCACACCAGACTGGAGGACTCTCATCCTTTAAACACAAGAAAGGACCATGGTGAAGCTGATCCCAGCTGAGTTCCAGACAGCTGTGAACAGATGGAGGCGGCCTTTACATCAGGATATCATGTGAAACATTGTCAGAACTCATGTGTGAGGGACAGCAGTGTGATGTAGGAATGAGGAGGTCTCATTGTCTCTACTTTCTGATCCTGAGTGTGAACAGGGATGATCTGGATTTAATGTACGCTCTTAAGATATTTTTCCCAAGTCTCAAAGATCATATATGAGGCTTGGCATTACCAATTTGACTAAAAACCATTCCTTTTAGAAAAAACTATGCACAGAAAAATGAGACATGAAATCCTAAATGCAGTGCAAGACAGACTGTGGGATTATCCCCAGCTTCTTCCTCTCTCCTTCCCCTGAGCTGGGGGCTGCACAGGGCAGTGTATCACACCTTGGGACCAGGTCTCCCACAGCAGAGCTACATGAGCTCAACACTGGGGCTGAAACATCAAGGACTGAGATCCTAGAACACATTCAAATATTCCAGCTGAGAAAATCCCTCCCCCAGCAGACAGAAGCTACAGATAGAATTTCAGATACTGATGCTGAATTTGTGATAAAGATGACTGGATGTCTAACACCTTGTGTGTAAAGAAAATGTGTGACCTTCTTACATGTATATCCAATGCATGTTTGTCCTTCCAAAAAGGTTCCCATGTAATCACTAGAACTTGTATGTGCAATATTACTTGACAAAGAATTTTTGCTGAATTCACACTCAGAGTCTAGTCACAGTAGCTGTATCACGTGTATTGCGTGGTCTCTGCAATTATTTGAGGTCAGGACAGGAAACCTTAGGGTCTCAGAGGACTCCCTCAGTCTCCAGATGTTTCTTACAGTTAGTACAGTTTGTTTCCTGGTGAAAATTGAGCCTACAGCTCCCCCTGCTGGTCCACAGCATCCTCAGATTGAGGATGTTTCTGAGCATGCAGGGAACCTGATACTGTGTCTGCTGCAGTGGAATGCAGGGCTGTGTCTTCAGTGGTAGCATAGCACAACTGGACTTCAGGGAGAACTGGTCTTTGAATGAGTTCACTGACACACTAAGGGAATTCTCAGTGACAGCTGCACACTATGGCCTCTTTTCTCTCAGGGTAGGCACTTTCCTGAGGGTGCACAGCCAGGAGGAGGACTTAGCTCCCAACAGACAGAAGTTATCACTACCCAGCCGAGGAGAAAATGAACTACCTGTAATTTTTTGAATTTATGGTGATTTTTGTCCTATAATGTGATGGATTTTGAGAAGGCTCAATATGTGAAAATGTTTTATTCCCTATCTGTTAGGTGGACTATATCTGTTGAGTCCAGTTCATCCTTAGAACATTTTAGCTCTGAATTTTCTTTATTTTCTTTTTTCATCAAAAATCATTCCTAGTATGATATCATTGATATTATACACACAAATTTATATTTGTAGTTAGGGGGATTGTCTCTTCAAGAAACTTGAGTAACTGTAGTTGAGTAAAGACACATCTCACATATATTAATCTAAAGGGATTCCCTTGCACCATGTCCGACTTGTTTATGGTTCTTCAATTTAGCAAATCCAAGTGTTCTACAGCAGCAGGTGAACCACATGGAGCCTATGAATTAGAGACGTGATGGTTGTCAGTGTAAGTGTGTTCTCTGTGAAAAACTTGAGCTGCACACAGGGTATCGGGAATGGGAAGGCTGTGAATATGGGGAAAAGGATTAATTGTAAAATTTTAAACACTCTTTCAATTCTGCCACTAAAATGAATGAGATCTTCAAATAAATTATGTGAATGTAAATTGCAGAGTAAATTAGCTGTCCTACAGGAGTTATATTTAGAAATTATTTCTTTCAGAATTTCATTATATTAACATCTCTTGTTATAATAGTTTTTTCATACACTCATGAATCGCATGAAAACCCAAAAGTGGAAACCATAATATACAAACAAAGAATCTGTATGACAGAACAAATAAACAAACAAGAAATTCCTCATTTAACATTACAAGGCAAAGAACCACCCAAGATGGCATGGAGTCTATTTTGTGTAGGGAACTTACTGCATGCCATGGAACTATACGAGACAGTGGTCTGTTTCACCAGTGACACTCCCTCAAAGAAAACTAATTTTTCATTTGCAAGTGGCTATCAGAATTTCCATATGATCAAAATGTCTTTTCCAAAATATATTTCCAATGTTGTTAGAAACATACACTCAGATTATCACCACTTGCCCACTCTCTGAGTCTTGGAAGCCGATTGTTCAGGAAACTTCTGAGAATAGAATGGACACTGCCCAAAACTCAAAACAGCCAACCCTTAGCTCCACATGAGCAACTGAGCTCTGAGTTAATGCATAGAGGTCAGAACTAGAATTATCTAAATCAACACAGAAGCAGAAGACACCATGATGAATGTTGTAATGAAAATATTTCAATTAAAATAACAATTTGTCCACTTCTTAACTTTGTATGCAGAGCCCTCCAGAAAGGAGAGTGGTTTGGACAACTCAAGGTACTTACTGAGACTGAGTCTGGATCCCTTCCACTTGGTTCCCTCTGATTACTAACACTGCTCCAGTCGAGATTCTGCCCCAACCTCAGAATGAGGCAAAATCCACCTAAGGTTCCTGAGCTTCTCCAGCAGCTGATCCTGAAGACCACAAAGAATCACTCTTCCCCCATAGACTCTGCATTTTGTTCAAGTAGGACTCACTGACATATTTGTTTTAAGAACGTTTGTCAAAGCAGAATTCATCGTTTTCAGTGGCATGATAAATTCCTAGGGTCTATGATTGCCAAAAGGATCCCCCAGAAAACAAGCAGATGGAGACCACACTCGGATAAAACAGGAAAAAATTCAGAACCTGGGCTTTATGGGTTCTGAGCGCCCCTGCTGGCTTCATAATCCTGGCTGGGAGGTTTTTGTCTGGGCTCACACTGAAGAATCCTCACTGTGTCATCAGTTCTCAGGTTGTTCATTTGCAGGTAGACCATGCTTTGGGAATCATCTCTGGAGATGGTGAATCTGCCTTTCACCAAATCCACGTATTAGGTTGCATAATTATTGGGTTTAATATTTATTCTTGCAATCCACTCCAGCCATTTTTCTGGAGCCTGGCAGGCACAGGTCATGGAAGCATCACTGATGGTGAATCCAGAGGATGCAGAGGAGAGTTTCAAGGACTATCCAGGCTGCCTTAAGCCTTCTCCAGACTCAACCAGCTGTACTTCACACTGGATACCTGCAAACACAGAGGATATTTATCAAGAAACTGTCACGCGTGTCTACTGTCTCTCCCATTCTTGTTCACTCACTCACTCACTCAGTATCCCTTGTCATCTACCTTTTAAAAGAACAACAAAGAAAACCCAATGCAGCCCCAACCCCATGTCAGTTGTCATGTTTCTGTGCTGGTCATGAATGGAAAGACAGGGCAAGAGTCGTCTGCCTGACCTGCGGAGTCATGGCAGGCCTGGTTTTCATGAGCAGAGGGAGGACATATTTGTATATCTTGCTGATATATCTTGTTCTCAGGTGTGTGTGTGTGGACCTTAGAGGAAGCAGTTAATAGTGCAAATGCCTGAAGGACAAGGAAGTTGTGAGGGCCCTGATTTCACTAAAATAGTATTTATTATTCATTTGTAAAAAGATTCAACATCCTTAATTT